ATCAGCATGTGGCAGACATATCCATTCCATCTCACAATAAATAACATAATGTCAGCAAAAAAATACAATGGCAAGCCAAGCACTAGAGAACACAACAAATCAGCATATTGGGACCACAAATTCACTAGCATTTTAACCTACCTCACTCTTCCACAACCTTAGCCATTTCCTTTTCCCTTCCTCCTCTCAATTTCTTTTTTTTTTCTCTTGAGCTCTAAACCACCAACTTTCTTGGTTTCAAAATTTCAAGCTTCTCGATTTCACTCTCAGTTTAGGGTTCATTATGGTTTTCACCCTCGATTTTTTTTTTCTCTTTTGAAATCAAGTGGTCAAAATTTTAGGGTTTATGGCTCCGATGAGGATAATAGTTGGGTTTTGGGTTTAGCTAGTATTTAGGGTTAATTATCAAGGTTAAAGGAGAAACGAATCTCAAGCAATAGTGAAATAATATCCTTTAAAACCATATGACTAAATAAGCCACATGGCATTTTCTCAACCAATTCTTTTAATTAGCAAAATATTTTTTTGGTTCAATTTAGTCCTTAAACATCTCAATTTTGTTCAATTTAGTCCTCATACTCTACATTTTTATTCAATTTAGTCCTTTTATCATACACTTTTATTCAATTTAGTTCCTACGGCATTGTTATTTTCTTTTTTTGTGGGAAAATTAGTTTTCTGAATCTACCATGTGGCAGTGCCAGGTCAACATATCAATGCCACACCAGAATGTTAGAGTGACGTGGTAGTGCCATGTTAGCATGTCGATGCCACTTCATTGACACGTCTACAAAATCTACTACATCAGGGTTGATGTCAATACCTTTAATGGTTAAATTGGATGGCATTAGAGGGAGGGACTAAATTAGTCCGATTCCCAAAATGGAAAAACTAAATTGACCTTATTTTATATACATGGACTAAATTGACAAAAATGATGGACTAAATTAATGTCAATGTATGGGTACAAGACCTATTTGGATACTTTGATTAGTGATAATTAAATTATAGCAGAGATCCATTTTTGGGGCTTGGGCAGAATGGGTGCCTATCACCTTCTTATTTCGAATCATACCTCCAAACCTATCTCTGATGGGGAAAAAAGGAGAGCTAGGTCCTTTACATGAATCCAATCATCTCTTTTAAGTGCCCAAACTCCTTAATAAATTAGGCTATGACTACTCCTTTAATCTTTCTCCGAGCAAAAAGCAAAAAAACAAGAACTCCTTTAATCCGTCCACATTTGGATGAAAATTCCTTGTTGTATACTTTCTCATAGCTTTTGTAAACTGATATCAAAGTGTCGACAGGTGCTCACACATGGGTGTGTTTGTGTTTGTGGGTTGCTAGGTTTGGAATGCTAAGTTGTCAGCTTTAACAAACTGATATTTTTGATAAATTGTCCAAAGAAAAGCAAACTGTAGACATTTGATTTTGTTCCCTTGACTAATGACGGCTGCACAAGAGGGAAAATTCAATAATTATAAAATTTCCTTGAGAAATTCGTTGTTTATTTTAAGAAGAATCAATTAAATTTCAAGTATATTCTTTTATGACCTTTATTAGAATTAGGTCTCCTTTATTTATTTTAAATTATTTTTCCCGCTTTATACTTAGAAATTTCCTTTTAAACTCAATTTCTTCAAAATCATTTTTGAAGTCATATTTTCAAGAGAAAAAAATTGGATATAACTTAAAAATTTATTTTTCAAAAATTTATTTGTTTTCAAAGGAGTTTTCTAATTAATTTTTTATAAAAGATTTTCAAAGTGAAAGAAATTCATGTTTCGGGTTCTACATATGTTTTCTAAAAATTTTTTTTCTTTTAAGGTTTGTATAAATTTTGTACAATGGTCAATTAACTTAAAAGTTATTTCTTGAACATTTTCCAATCATACTTAGATGCAGTCTAAAACGGATACAAGTGTGCTATTTTTCTAAAGAGAGAACAATATTGTTTTGTCACAACAACATTGACATCTGACAATTATTGAGCTTTTTTCTCTCAATCCGCTAATTATTTTTTCTACCCAAATCAATAGACTTCGAAATTAGACTTGTGTACCTTTCTAAGAAGCCCAAATTTGCATTTTATTTTAAACTCCAAATAAATCAATAATGGCCTTTTAAAGTCATGTTTCATGCATGATATGGGAATGTTCATAGAATCTTATTTAAGTTTGCCCTAATTAAAATTAGAAGGA